CCTCTGGGGGCAGGATATTGAATTTCATGAAAACATGGGTGGAGTATTAAGGGCCCAATCCGAATCAAGGCTGCATGCATCGTTAGGAAAGTAGGGAAAGCCATTGCACATAGCTCCACTTCGTGCATGTTAGGAAATGTTTGGGTTGACCCTTTTTCTCTAGCAAATGTTCTTAGAAGTGAAGTCTTAGGCTGCAATCCCAATTTTTCGTATCATACAATAAACTCATTGAGCTTAGTAAGACTTACTTCTGAGTAGGTATGTGAATAGTTGTATTGTTAAAGGATGGAAGTGGATCACTTCATCTTTACCTGAAATCAGATTGGATGGTCATATGCTTGTGTTGTCAAGATCTAATTACTTCCATTCAGATTCTACTGCTAATGGCCTCAGATAATAGGGTCATAGTTTCTAGAATAACAGTGGGAAAATGGTTCTTCAGCATCAGTGGACTTTGACTAAATACATCAGGCAATTAATGTGGTGCTATGGATTTTTAAAATGAGGTGCAATACCGTCAGTGTATATGAGTGAAATTTGCATCAGGCTGCAAGTCCAATCACATGCCCTTGGGAGTACATCTCACTAAAATCAGTGGAATATGCATGCATAGGCTGGGACTGTTGCTCATCTTTTCTGTAAAACTGTATTTATTAAGGACAATCTTTTGCAAGAGGATGTGTTTATTCATGCTATACTGCACTGGCAAATGTTCTTATGATTCTAAAAAAAGATCATAAATACATGGAATATGCAGTCAAATATTTAGACTATGATCTACCAAGCTCAGAAATTAATGAGATTTATTGTGACATAAATAGATTTCAGATTATAAGTACCAGATGATAATCCTCGTGAAGCAAAGATTGTTTGTGGTTTTGCTTTAAAGCATTGTCTCATTCTTTGCTAAGAAACCTTCTTGTACTTTATGTGTGTACAGTACCAAGCAGAACTGCAGCAGTTCATGGAAGAAGCTGCAGGAGGCATGCTAAAAGAATTAAGAATGAGGCTTGCATCATCCCCAGGAGTACAGAGAGATGACAAAATCAAATCCAACCGTTGGTTGACACATAACATAGCTGTTCGTTGGCTGATGACTAAGAGGAAAAACATTAAAATGTGTCACATTCAGCATATATTCCGTTATCTGCTATGCTGTGCCCAAGGATAGCTGGGTGGTGCCACGTATCTTCTCATTTAAGTTTGTCCTTAATTGTCCTTTCTTGCTCTTCTACTGATTGTGTTTATTTATTTATAAAGTTTGGGGGCTGTTTCTTTGTCTAAAGAAAGGTTCTCAAAGAGATGGAAAATTCACTACAGTTTATAAAATACCAGTAGAACTACCTTTGAAAGCAGACTCAAAATGGCATCGAAACCACACAGAAGAACCCCAGAAACAAGCAAAGAAACCAAGGAACAGCAAGAAAAGGTTGTGACATTCAAGCATTAAAATCTAAATGTCAGATGAGATGGCCCATGATATACTTTTAGTGTACGTTGTTCTGGGAGCTTTTTAGCTAATCGTATAAAAAATCAGCTACAAACAAACAAACAAACATTTTAAAAAGCCTTCATAAGTAAATGGGAAAAAGGAAAATACTGATTTTACCTGGCAGGAATATGAAGAAGACAAGGATGCTTGAAGATAATAAAGCCCTCAGCAGCTTGCCTAAACCAGCAGGGCAGAGTGGGAATAAAGTCAGATTTTAGGTGCATTTAAAAAAATTGAGACTCAAAGATGTAAACTGTGGTCCACCTTTTCTTCATCTGAAAAACTATTTTAGAAAGAGCAATCGCTATGAAGGAAGAGCTAGGTGTCCTTTCCATACCCCTCTGCCACTTCTCTGTTGCAAATCACTCTCTCTGGATGTAATCTTTTTCTAAAAGAGAACCTCCTGAACTTTGTTATATGCCTTTTCTTATAACATATACTTTGACTCTGAAATTCATGTGGAAGTAGCACTGGTTAGAAAAAAGATAGCAAAGTTGGCTGGTCAACACTAATCTTGTTCATAAATGAAAAGCTTTCCTAAGTTGCATGCATTTTGTTCCACCAGGGCACCTAGATAATGTTGTGAGATAATATCATGGCCAGTGGAATCCGGTGCCCAGGCACTATGGTCCCAGGATGAAAGTGTTGTCCCTCTAGTGCCTTGGATCCCTTGGCTATTTAGGTACCTTGCCTCACTCATAATATTCATAATAGCTGAAAGGTTTTTTTCTTGTCAAGATCAATTGAGCATCATCAAAGTGATGATAAAGCTTTCAAAAATCCATCCTGAGCCAATGGAAACCTTAGATCATGCATGTGGAACTTGAAGGGTTACCGCTTTGGGTTTGGTTAAAAAAAATCTTTGTAAGCTGTTGTTGAAGATTTTGGGCTGAGGGATAGAATACAAATGCTACCTGTTGTGCTCCATAGGGTGTGGTGCCCACACTGGTCATGTCCTTGCATGGTCATGAAACCAAATTACTTCTGAAGTTAAGGCAGAGGAGGGCAGATGGTAGACTGGGATCCGCTGGAATATATCTGGATGATTCAAATAGATCACTCAGAGTTTCTGATTCCTGCTATTATTACTTAAGTAGCTAATATAGCAAGAACAAATATTTCAGTCCTGGTCAGCCTTGTGCTAATTGCTTATCTCACAGCCTCAATGTCTATCTTCTACAAATAGTATTAACTGGGTGTTTTTGAACAGGTCTGTATTAACTGCTTCTGGTCAGTTTCTTGCGTTAGAATCCCTGCTCTCTGGTCACCTGCACATCAGTTTCACTCTGCCCACATTGTATATTTGATAACACATAGCAGATAATTGATGTCACTGCTGTGCCACCACTGTTGTGCCTGCTTTCAGTTAATAGACGTCAGCATCCAAACAGAAAACAAAATATATCACACAAGTTTGAAATCTGGCCATTTCTGGTTTAAGGGCCTAAGATGGTAAAATTAATGGCCAAACACCTGGAGGGTAACCATTTGGAGAGAGCTGCTCAGCCATCTATGCCAGGGGACCCCAGTGTAGCACTTGGAACCACCATGGTGCCAATGGGCATCTCTGAGGGCACTCACAGAGAGGCTCCCAATCTGGTGTGCTGAGGCATCCTAAAAAGAGGTTTTGCTGATCTCTCCCTTTCCCCCAATATTTTGGACAGCTTCAACAAAAGCAGACCAAATATCCAAACAAGTGGCTATTTGAAGTTGGTGTCAATATGCTACTTGTTCATATATCAAAATGTCTTCTGACAATTCTGTTTTTCCTTCCAAATTTGTAATAGCCTTCTTTTAGCTATCATTAGGACTCAGAGAATCCATTCCCATTTCCACATTAATTTATCTGAATTGATCTGAAACAGGTAAATAATGCAAAAGTGCATCAGTTAATATTTAAAAATTGTTCAGAGTACAAACTTTATCCATGTAATAACCTGCTCCAAAAAAGAAGCAACTAGTGGACATTGCCGAAATGTATACTTAAAAAAGCTGTATTGCACAATCAGCAAATAGTTGAATTGGCTTATTAAATAGACATCGTAATAATCAATAGACACAAAACAAACATTGTTCCTGAACAAGATGTAGCCTGTGTTCAGTAGACATGGCAAGTAGATGTCAAAGCAGTGATCCAGTGATTAGCCATTTTGTGGTAATGTCCAAGGAATTTCTCAAATTCCCAAATGTGCCCACAAGGCCAGAAGAGTTGGGGACCCTTACTCTATGTAGCTTATCCCATAGCAGTACACTTAAAGTTAAGAGGGTTCATTAAATGTTTCATCTTAACCTACTACGTTGTTGTTCTAGGTTGCATCATGTCCTGTTCTTTGGGGATAAGTCAGAAATTTTCCCTGTTCTTTCCCACATCCCTTGAAGTGTTGGAATGTTTTTGCTATGACCCCTCTTGAACCTTGATTTCTGTGACAATTTTAACATAGTTCCTTCATATTTTCCTTATATGACTTACCATGTGCATTCTTCTGCATCCTCCATTTGACAATCACTTGCCTGAAGGATGAATCCAACATAAGATAGAATCTAGCATAAGACAAAAAGGCACTATGTACCCTGCCGGATTTGACCACATACATTGATTCTATTGCAAGCAAGGGTACTTAGGATTAATGGTTTAACAGATTCCTTTGTGCCAGATTCTACATACCATGCTACAGGTGTGAGGAGAATCCTCTAGATTTGGCATCAAATTAGTAAAGGGGAGCTACTCAGTATATGGATCATTGACTAAGGGACTGGAAAGCAGGCATAACAATTACTTCTTTGTTCTTAATTGAGGTCTTCCAAGTTTATAATTGGCATTCAATTACTACCCCTTATTATCCCCACAAGAGAGAATAACTTTTTAATAATATACATCCTTCAAGTAGTGCATTGAGTCTGACAACTTCAAAATAAGAAAGGTAAGCCAGAGTTTGAAGGATATCCATACCAAAAAGCTTTCTGTTGCAGTAACAATCACAACATACTGTTGAGTGTAAACAAACATTCATGTAGCGTTGGAGCATTCTAAGAACTCCACATGGATTTGCACAGCACTACTTACGATAGCCATATAAAGTTTATGCCAGTTTTTGGTTGATTTGTTAAGTTGCATGTTTTCCGATTGTCTTAAAAGAATGCTGTTGAGCTAATCCATTTTATCTTTTGATTTTGTCCTGCTCTCTAAAACTCAAATTGCCATTCCCCACCTGCTGAACTTTTTGAAAAGTGATTCCTAGGTTAGATGATGCCACATACATCCTCTTTCAGCAATTGACTAATGCCAGGGTTTGAATTACTATTGAATAAGCAGTAGTGAAATATCTATGAAAATAATCAGTAGTTCCAGAAACCACAAGCAACACCAAGGCAGAGTTGTCCTTAATCAGCAAAGACCATTTGTAGGAGAAGGGCTGTGAGTCAGGCGTTCGCTCTCTCTCTCTCTCTGCATACTATTTCTTTGTTGAATCTAAGGGAAGGCAGGTGGTGAGGGAAGTGCATTGCTCAGAATGGAGTGTGTGTGTGTTGGTGTGTGTGTGTTTTTCTTAAGTTGACATCACCAAAGTCATGTGATTGCCAAGAACCAATGAAAGAGGCTACAGAAAGGGGAACAGTTACATTTGTAATATTGGTTGTGTGAAACACTTCTTTGGGCCTCATAAACAACCACAGAACCACAAGTTGGGTACAGAGGCAGTCACACAAGAGCAGGTCCGGGATATTGGTCAGCAGGCAGGGCGAATCATTTTGACTGCAAACCACAAGAGTTTCGTAGAGTGGTAAGCATCATGAAACCACAAGTGATCCGCTATTTCTCTCTCTCTCTCTCTCTTTCTCATTTTTTTTTTTACAAAATAGTTTCAGTGTTTGTGTGAGAGAAAAAGAACCTTATTGCTGAATTGATTTTGCTTTGCAGATACAAACATGCGAAGTCCAATTGCAGACAGGAGGTTTCTTACAATGACCATTCTCTTTTTTTCACTTCCCAAGGTGAAAGAAATCACATAGCACCCCCTTTTACAAGACAGAATAAGTTTTAAAAGAGGAAACCATGGCTTCAAACAGCATATTTGAGTCATTTCCTTCTTACCAGCAGTGCTTCGTGCGAGGTAAGTGCCACTCAAATGTTTAAATATACTTTTTGACTCATCCATGTTTAGGAAAATGCATGCTTGCACTTTTCAAGAAGCTCTTAGCAGCACATGTTTTTCCATGATTATTTTCTTGGACTCTAGCTGAATCTGAAATGTGAATGAGTTACCAGCTTGTCTCTCTTCAGCAACTGTGCTGGGTATTTCTTTCACTTGCTCAAGTCACCAGCACATAATCCTCAGGGTTCTGTTGCTGACTGTTCAAGATCATATAAATTGCATGCAACAGCGGAGGCATAAGCCACCAAAGACGTCTTTTGCTGAGCAGGCAGAGTCAGGAGCTCTGGGACTGCAGCCACTTAAATAGCCAAGAGTACGCTACATGCATCACAGTAACCCAATATGCGAAGAAGGGAAGAACAAACAGACGTTTCAAGCCAGTGGAGTTTGCTGTTGCTCCATGTATCTATCATTCCAGATTATGGAAGGAGCTTAGGGCTGCAACTATGTTCGCATGTCTCTGGGCATAAATCAAGCTGGACTAAGTGGGACTAATTTTTTAATGAGCATGCATAATATCAGGTTGGGAGACTCATTTATTGGGGCATTCTTTAAAATGAGGAACTTCTGTGAGACTTGTAAACCACATGATGGGAGAATGAAGCGTACTTGGAGCCATTTCTTATTTCTGCGCTGAAGTTGTATTGTTGCCGTAGGCGCCGTCAGAATAATGAAGCTGTCCAGAGAGAGGGTTAATAAAACCAACTGCAGGATCTTGTCTTACACAGTTCCTGTCTAACATTTCATTCTGGATTTCATTCTAAATCTTTATTAGTAAGCAAATTGTCTTCTTTGAGAAATGTACCTGACTGAGGAAGGCTGCTCCTTCCTCAGAATTGTATGATAAGAATTTGTTCTTTCTCCCGGAGAAGCACCCAAAGCACAGGTAGAGCGCCATGTCGTTTTGTCTTATAATAAATGTGACATTATCAGTTTTGTACCAACAGCCATGCAAGGCATGAGGGGCTGGGCGGGAAAAATCTTTCCAAACTCTCCAAGACTGCTGCTTCACAAGTGTCTAAATGAGTCACCGGTTATTTGTATTAATTAGCCTTCTGAGGAATGCAGAAGGGTTGCATGCCCTTTGTCACATGTCACACTATCTTCTCCCCCATGGACTGGAAATGAGAGGGGGAGGTATGGGAGAAGAATACTATAAATGCTGCTGCTATAAAGGTTTATAACAACATTTACTGGCATCAGAAGATAGTTTAGCTGTATTTAATCACCAGAAATTGTCTGAGTCACACACCTTTTTTGGAACCTCTTTTGGTAACAAGACTTGGCATGGAGTAAGAAGAGCTGCTAACCCTTCCCGACTCATTTCCTTTGGGTTGCTAACAAGCAAAGGAAGCAATATTAGTAGAATAACAAGATCCTTCCTGAATGTAGTTGGCCTTACTTTTCTTTTGCCCATCCAAATGTTTATTTGCTCTTTTATCTACAGGACAGGAAGGCTTTATTGAGGAAATTTTATTCATTTGGAATGTAATAAAGGGTGAACCCTGTCATGTTCTACTTGACTTGATAGTGGACAGTCTGCTTCTTCCTGAACTCAGACAGGAAGAGGGCCACTAATGAAAAGAGATGCTTAAATACACCTCAAAACAGTATGACTTTCTCTGTAAAATTTTGCTTGTGTGGTTTTTTTAACATGGATAATTTGTTCTCTGCATTTTTTGCTGTAAGAAACCAAACCAAACCCATATTCCATCAAATAAGAGCCAATAAAATGCAAGGACACAAGGAATTGGAAACTTCCTGTGAAAGAGCCATTAAAAGGATGGGGAACACGTTGATATTGGGGTGCTCCAATGGCGTCTCCCACACACAAACACACAACTTACATTTCATTCAGTTTATCTTAGCACTACTGGATTGTGCTTGTAGACTGTGCACAAAAATCATTCTATTCTGTTTGCATTCATTTTCTTCCACTTGCACGTCTTGTGAGCTTCTCATTTCTTCATGGCTCTGTCTGATAAGTGCTTGTTGTACTGGGCATGTATGCTGCCTAATAAATTTCCTGAATGCTTGCTGTTGGTACTTTCCCATCTGAATGTTAGCATAAGTGATTCCCTGACAGCTGCAGAATTAATCTTAGGTCCCAGCAGATGTAAAAACTTCAGACTGAATGGTAGCCAAGTTGGTTGGTAAATGAATTAGCATCATAGAATGCACAGAAACCACTTGTCAGTTAGAACTGGGGACTTCTAACCATACAAATAGATATGAGAAGAGGTTATGCCAGCTGCTGAAGGCATAAAGTCAATGCTGAAGTTCACCTCCCAATGTAGTTCCATGGATTCCAAGGGGACATGCAGGGATGTTTATCCAAAAATGAAAAGCCATGAGTTCCTATGCCATAGCTTATTCACCTTGCCTCTTCTCAGTGGCAGCTTTCATACCCAAGCCAGTGCAGGAATTCCTCTCTTGGAGAGAATGTCGGACTCCCAAATATTTGTTACTTCTGGGGAAAAAACAGGGATAGAAGCAATTGTAATAAGCATATGTTTTAATTGTAAAACTGTAAAGAAAGTTTTAGACCAGATTTACACCTGTAGCAGATGAGGTAGAAAAGAGGAGGCAGCTAAGTTTATAGGTGGTAGGAGAGACTTCTGATAAGGGACCACAGTTCCAAATCTCCCTATCCCTGAACAAATAGAAAATTGACTGAGGATTGATTGAGGATTGACCATGGCTAGAACTTTTCTCCATGATGTGCTCATTTTTTGTTTGGTTTTTGCTTTCAGGAAGGTTTGTAGGGTGGAGATGGGCTGGATTTAAGTGGGAGAGCGTTCAGAACTGGAACTCTAAAGTGGCAGAGCCTGTCCTACTGCGTTCATGTGCCAGTAGCCCAGATCTTTGTTCTACAACAGGGCCTATTTTGAGCAATGTTCATCTGGAACTGTTTATGAAGAAAGTTTGCTTGTTTGGATAGTCTCATTGGATAGTGAATGGTTAGTAATCACCTTTTCACTGATTAATGGAAGGTTTACATATGAAATTTGAAGACTTATCCCAAAGTTTCTTTTCGTACGTGTCTGCTTCCTCCTTTTGCTGAGCTTCAGACAATTTTAAAACTTAACTTGACAAACACCTAGGCTTTGGTGCAAGAAAAATAATCATTGCTGTAGTCAAATTGTTCTCACCCCCCATTTCTCAGTAGTGTTTATACAGGGCAGTCATTAGAAATGTCCAAAATGGTTCAGTTATTTTTCCCGCCAAAATTTATTACACTTTCTTTCTTAACTGAAATTATGGCCCAAAGGGTGGAAAAAACAAGTTGTTTTCTGCCATAGATTTCACTTTATCAGTCCATGCAGTTCTCTCAGACGGAAATCCATAATTCTTTTTCAGTGTGATACTCTGAAAATTTGGAGAGGAAAAAAACGGGGAGTGGGGAAGCAAACACTGGTCCCTCCCTCAGTGAAAACTGACAGGATCACAAAGCTTGTCATATTAAATGAATGTGGTGCACCACAAAGGATATGACCCTTTTTCTATCACACCACACCAGGTCCTCCCTTCTGCTGCTAGGTAAAGAAACAAAGAATCTAGTGGATCTGTCTGGGAGTCCTAAAGTACCCTGAATATTACAAATCCATTTGCGTACCAAAAAGTTATGAAAGTCTTCTATTTTCTATCAGCTTTTCATTAATAAGTGCACTGTAATGGAAACATTTGGAAACGAGCCTCAATAATCTAAGGGAAACACCCAGATATCCTGTGCAAGATAGAAGCTTATAGCACAGCTACAACTTTCCAGAATCCTTGGACATAACTAACACAGCAATCCTATCCATGCCTATTCAGAAGCATATGCCACCAAATTCAATGGGGCTTTCCTCCAGATATAAATATCAACCTGTAGTCTTAATATAGAATCCTATGTACATGTATCTAGCATGAGTCCTGTTGAACATGCATAGAATTACACTATTACATTGTTTCTATTTTGAACAATTAGGGTCAGGCATTAAGCACTTTAAAATCCCATAGCATAATTCTTCCTCATTGAGATTAGTCAGTTTGTGCCACATGATCTATGGTCAGAAGGACAACCAAAGAAGTGATTCTGCCTGCGGTTAGGTCAGGGTATAGCTCACAGGTATGTGATAAAAGAGGAATGGCCGCTTAGGAACTGTTAGGATGAATCACGTATCAGTTATCATTAGGTTTTATAAGTTAAAACCTTGAATTGGACTCAGAAACGTATAGGCAGCCAAACCAAGCAGGCAAGCACTAGTGGTATGTGTTTAGAACTTCTATTTATTATTTATTAAAACATTTCTATGCCGCCCCATTCGCTGAAGCTTTGGGGCGGCTCACAACATAAAATTAAAATACAAGAAATAACAATATAAAATATAAAATAAGTCCAGCCTAGTAGTCCAGCTGCCATATTTTGCACAAGCTGCAGCTTCTGAACATTCTTCAAGAGCAACCCAATGTAGAGTGCATTGAAGTAATCAAATTTAGAGATGAACAGGTTGTAGATTACTGAAGCAAGGCTATTCTTTCCAGATAGGAGCAGAGCCGGGCCACTAGTCAAGGCTAGTAGAAGGCAATGGGTGCCACCTGAGAGTCAAAGAGGATCCCCAAGCTACAAGTCTGCTCTTTCAAGGGGACTGCAACCTCATTGAGAAAGACTGAACACCCTCCACTAATTGCACACTAACAGCATCTCAAACTTTTTTGGACCAACCTTCAGTTTGTTAATATACATTCAATCCATTGCCACAACCAAGCACCTGTGTAGGACATCCAAAGCTTCACCTGATGGGAATGAAAAGGCAAAGTAGAAGTGTGGGGAAGTAGGTTTCATGTAGATGTTGGGGAACAAGACCCTGAGGAACCCAATGCTGCAGAATCCACAGGGCTGAGCAATTTTCCCCATTCACCACCTTCTGGGGCTGGCCATCCAAATGGGAGCAGAACCACTGCAATGTCATAGG